TATACCTTTAATGTCAGCATTTATATAACATTATATTGCGTGAGTAACCTAGGCTAATTTTGTAAAAATGACTAAATTATATATTTTATGTTTTATTGCCATAATTTTGGATGTGGTGTATGAGCCCCATGTGTCGGGCATTGGTGATATGTTGAAAAAGGGTGCCGATGCCTTACACAGTGGGGCCAGTAAGCTAGGTGATACAGTCATAGAGCAAGGGTTTACCGCATTTTGTGCCGGTACTGGTGAGTGCGTTAAAACTCTCAAACCAATGGGTATGGGATTCACGCACTGCGATAAGGCACACGCCAAGGAACCATGGTGCAAATGTAGGTTTGATCACGATCATCTTTAATGTAATAACACCGATGTTTCTAAAAAATAATTTTGCAATTTTCTTTTTGTAAAAATTATGTTTTAATTACAATACATATCATTTAAGCGATATTAAGGGTTATCAATATTAAGCGATAACGAGTTTATACCGTCTAAACTATGTGTCTAATAATATGCTGCATTAATTATTTGCACCCAAACTGTACTAGTATACTTTGTCATTTGAATTACATATTACTTAAATAGTCATGAATTATGTTTATGATCCTGATGTTAGTGATTGACAACAGCGACACATTGCACGCGGTTTTATGCGATGTGTCCAAAGACAAGGGAAAGACATGGTTTACGCTGGCGATGGGGTGCTTCAAAATGCCCGACGCGACCAAAAAGCAGGACTGTATGGCCGAGTGGATGAAGGAGGTTGAGAGCTGCAAAGAGGCCGCCGATATGATCGGCAACGCCGCCAAGGGTTAACCTGTTTTGTGCCGACGTTTTCACAACTAGTCATATAATTACATAATTACTATTAAGTTTTATTGTTTGTTAAATACTGTTATGGATTATAGTAAATACTGTTCGAGTATTCTGTACTAACAATATAAATTAAATCAAATGCAAAACACTAATTATTATATTTAATTATTATTTTAAATACCGTAAAATTAATGTATAATTAATGACAATATTGTAATTTAAGTTTTTTAATTTTATGATATTTATTGAAGATTCATTAAATATAATGATATTTATACACATGTTATATGGAAATAGCTATTACTATTATTTGTATTATTTAAAAGCAATAGTATTAAGAATTTATTTCGCAGTGGAAACTTTAAAATTATACTGACAATAATGTCTAGTAAACTGATCTTGGTATGTGTGATTGCTGTGACCTATTATATGTGTGTGAATGGACTTCCCGGACTGGATCACTTCAGCAAAGGGGCTATGGATGCCTACAAACAAGGGGTCAAACTGGGCGAAGGTCTGGGCGCTAAGGTCATTGAGAAAGGGTTGCACAGCCTGTGCGATGGTAAGTCCAAAGTCACGGGACAG